CAAAGGATCAAATAAAACAAAAGCTCCTGCGTGGACTCCTACAGTAAGGATGGTCGATGAAAGGGCGTAAACCACGCAACAAGCGCTAATGTTGAGTCCAAATGAGACGTTTCCTGTTCTCGTATGTGCTGGCCTCGATCACGAATCTACTAGCGCGACGAATGGCTGGATGGACAGGTGGTCGGGTAGTAACGGGGTATATGTCGACCAACGTGGCCAGCGGGTGGCGCGATGATGTGTGCCGAATTTCAGGCGTCCTCTGCTTTCTTCCCATTGATGGCTTTGAGCTCGACATCGCTGCCATCGCGTTAGCATTCCGCTTTGCAGCCTGTGCACTGATCCCGCGATAACAAGGTGAAAGGAACAGCATGTGAGCTGTGCGCTGTGTGGAGGAACAACACACACACTTGTAACACATAAATGAGGCGTCGCATGCGCGCTGTAGTGTCCCAAATGACGAAGAAAATGAAGTTGGGCACCTACAAGATCAATTTGGCATTGGCCGGGATGTGTCCAGGAAAGCCACTGTTGTCCACATGGTCAGCACTTGCACCTCATGGTCTGATCAGATCGTCGAAGTCCAAAGATGCGGCGATGCCAATAGGCTGCAGACATTCGTGTTGTACAAGATTGGCGGTTGCTGCGGCATGGACGTCCAGGAGCGCGGGAGATTCGAAGAAGCATGGCTCAAACGATCTTCGGAACGTCGTCAGCCGTACTAAGTCTTGGCTCCGTCGGGCGTTCGTGTTCACGGTGGCGTGTGTACTTCCAAGGTTCGGTAACGTCCCGTCTTACTTGTTCCCGTCCCGACCATGGAATGTGCAAATTGTAAAGTCGAACTTACCGAGTGCCATATGCATAATCACTGCATCGCACGTATCATTAGTATAGTACACTCACGCGGAAGGATACGTCGTGGGGATTACGTACGATGTTATGATTAAAGTCGCCTTCTCTCCCAGCGTCATTGGAGAAGCCTCTGCGGAGCCTAAAATGCCCTCATCCCAGCCTGTGCATGAGCTTTAGCCAAATGCGCGTTCAGAATCGTAGAATGCATATGCACCAAGCGCAGAGCGGGTTGGGTTGGGCATACCTTTGATGACCCGGCCGGCACCGATGGGAGTGATCAGGTCACCGCGACCTACGGAAGTATCGAATCTAAAGAACGATCAATACGGCGCTCTATTCGATGTCCAAGGCATGACTGCTGCCGGTTCGCTTACTGTCCGCCTTTGTGGTCCGGGGCATCATCGTCAAATAGCCATCCTGTCATTGTTGTTAGATGTTGATCTCTGGTGAGGAATTGAGTAGCTAATCTCACCAGTGTATTCCATAGACACCTCGTCATGCTTCTTCGGGAAGTCTATGCCATTGCCAGGTCTGATCACGAGCTTTTCAACGCCCATATTGAAGGGAACGAGCATGGATAGCGTCTAGGGCGGGTTTGAAAAAGGTGAAGCTTGAAGCTTGAAGCAGGTGACAGGTAGTGTATGTAGAGGATCCACTTCCTTTGGTACTGATTAAAGATAGCGTGTCGTTTTGAAAATCCGAAATCTGCAAAGATGGGGAAGTACGTTAGAAAGTGGGTGGACCCTAGAGTTTAATAGTGGTGCCGATGTGTAGGACCAGGAGTAGGAAGCTCCGTAGATGCTCTGACTGGAGCTCAGACTTTCATGGCTTTTACTTTGACCAAAAGCATACCAGGGTTTTGCCGCGAAGCTGTGCAACAGATTGGTCTGTTCAGATGCGTCAAGCATACTTTTTAGCCTCTTCGCATACGCACACGTTCCACCTCTTTGGCTCCAAGGTAATTGCGGGCTACGTATGGTACGACCCACAGCCGTCAGAACGTGTCTCCCGGGGAATCCTGCCCGAAGCTCAGGCCGTTTTGAAATGTCAGAAGTAAGGTTGGTCTAGCCCTTCCAAACCATTCTTCATCTGCAGCATCCCAGCTGACACGCGATGGGGGATCCACAATTGACATGGTGGAAGGTTGTACCCGTACTACAGTTTCCCGCGACTACCGAGCGGCCTGCCAACTTCGATGCGGATCTTTGTTTTGTGATAACACGGGTATAATCATGTCCGATAGTGGCTTAGCTCTCTTATCGACGGTAATAGGATGACACAAGGGTTGATTTGTAGCCGCTTTAATTGAAAGGAAGCAGGGCGGTGGCGCGCAAGAGAGTGCGGTCAAGCTTGAAGTGCGGTGACGGTCACCACGATCATGAGCCATCTAGCACCAATGTGCGCATGGCGCTGGCGCCAGAACCTTAACCTCGTCCAAGGAAGCGGAAGGCGCAAATAAGCCGGCCGTGGCCCCTACCTCATTTGGAGTCGCACGATGGAAGCAAAAAGGAAAAGCGCCTCTGACGCAGCAATATTCGGTCTTGTCGAATAACACACGGCCGCCGCATTCCTCCATGACAAAGGGCGATGCGTAGACTTTGGTACGGCAATGCATGAGGACCTGCATGACCTAGCTTTTACGCTGCTTGTGAAGGGCGAAAAAGGATCTCCTTGTAGGATCCTCTTCCAGCTCCGTGGAGGCAGGTGGCGGTCATACAGATTTGAATATGGATATGGACAGGGGTGACGTGCATACGCAACACCGTTCTCGAAAAGCAATGTTCGGTCCTTCATGGTAGATGTACCCCGCGGTTTCAAATTTCCAATCACTAATCGGCATTCTGCTCTTCCACACCTAATCGTCTCCTTCATGCTACCGCTATATCCGCATCCCTAATATACGACCAGGAGACTATCGTACCTCGTAGTCTTCACTTCCCCTGCGTCTCACGCCGGCCCAAGAACCTAGCTGTGTTTCTGCTTTCGAGTCTGTTATAGTTTGCCAATCACAGACGCGTCGGATACACACCCGGCTGCCGTACGGAGCTAGACCCACCCGAAGAACAACCGTATTTCGAGCGGTTCGTCGAGATAACCATATGCGGAACTGCTGGCTATCGTGCTTCTCGCGGCAAACGAATAATTCATTTGAACTAGAGGGACAAAGCACAAGCACAAGGGGTGCGGGGCTAAAGAGTAAATCCGATGGCCATTACACGTGGTCTTTCAACCGTGCTCCAGCCATCCCTTCTCAGATCGCGAGCCCTGTGCGCTGAGTCGGGAGCCCAACAGCGTGGTCTGGGAGCATCGTACGCTTTGCATTGGCTAGATAGAGTGCGCTTGCAGCGGCAGCTGAGTCGTGGAGAAGAGGAGCCCCCACGCATCTGGAGTGCAGTATCGTGATAGACAGCATGAGCCACAGTCGACTAGTGATGTCGACTCGCAAGTTGCATGTCACCGAACCGTCGGATGCGCTCGCTTCTATTAAATATCCGAAGGCCATGGGCACTGCATGTAGGCACCCTACCAACCGTTGACAGAAGGTGCTTGATAGTGTGGCCCCGGCATTCGGGCCCGAAACTCTCCTTGCTGAGAGTTTCAGTGGCGCTTCTAACTACCGAAGGGCTATCCATCGCGAAGAGTATATCACCCTATCTTGGCCCAGAAGGGTAATTGCGCCAGGTCGGTTACAGCAATGCTAGAGAAGCCCGCGTTGGGGAAGCGGCTGTCTTTGCGCTCACCGGCCCGGTCAGCAAAATGTATCCGGTCTATCCCTGCCTTCTGTACGAAAGCCAATAGTCGCGCATAGTTTGTACCTATCTGATCAATCCCATGACTGTCATCAGACATGACGAAACCACCTCCCATGCTTAAGAACATCTATGACATAGGTTAGTAAGTTGACGCCGAGACCGGGCACATGGCGGTGTGACTGACCTGACATATGGGCAAGCACGGATACGGCTCGGCCAAACCTTTCCGCAACCCTGATGAGTTCAGCTCCAGTAGAGCGCCATAAGAGGCTACGTATTCCAGATTGCGCTTGATCTTTTCCCAAACACCAGTCATGCCCTTGAAATCAACATCGCGATGATCGCTAAGTAGGCGAATGAGATCGAAGTGCCCGACCACTGGCGGTCGCAGCTCTTGAAGCATTTCGTATTGAGAGTCGAAGTAATCTTCAAAGAGCCGCTCGTCCGTCCCGCCTGCCTCCTCTCGAGCTTGTTCGTACATAGCGCGATCGTAGTCGATGGGTATGGTGTGCGTATGGTGGACAGAGCCCATGAAGAAGTCAAAAGTGTACTTGTCGAGGATGCTCTGGATGAGTTGCAGTGTAGATGGACGAATCCATTCCGTCTCGAAACCGATGAGGATCTGGATCTGGTCTGAGTACGCGTCTCTAACTCTGTGGGCTTCGACGATAAAGGCGTCGAACAGTTTCGCGAGGCTCTCTGCGGTGTGCGATCCGGATTCTTCGGGGTAGAAGTCTTCGAGAGGTCTAGGTATATGTTCCGTCAGCGCAAAGGTATGGAAACCTTTGGCTATCGCTGCCTGGATAACTTCCTCGAGTGTGTTTTGCGCATGTCCGCAGAACTGGCCAGAGTGGCTGTGATGCGAGTACGGCATTTTCGAGTAGCCGGCACACGTTCGATCTGTTACAGTGTAGATGTGTAGCGTTGTGCAGCAGATGGGCAGCACAGACTGCGAAAGTCTGTAGTAAATTGACAACGAGGAGCAATACCCCGTCAACTGGTGAAGTCGCGAAACTGTGAACTGTGTAATGACTGTAAGAGTCAGCTGTACGTTTAAGAAAACGGTCGCGCATAGGATTCGGCGAGCTTTGTATCGGTTCTTTCCAAAATTTGGGTCATGTCATCCATCCATGGTTCCATCCGTTGAGCCTCGGAACTGTGCCTAAGCGGGCCTAGTTCACCACCATTCTGAACCAACCGTGGACGCACACCTCAACCTTGAAGGCCAATTGAACCCAACGCGAAGTAAGCTATCGTTTTTCCAACACTCGATACAAGGGCAGTTTTGAATAGCTCAAGTCTACCGCACAGTACATCCCACACATCATCCAAATCTATAGCCATCAAGAACGATCCCACTACCATCAACGACCCTAAAGGCCATCAATACAGCTCAACATGGCGAACACCCAGCTCCCCATCACATCACAAACCTCACCCACAATCTACTTCGGCTACGGTTCCAACCTCTGGCTCCACCAAATGAGCACCCGCTGCCCAACATCCAAATACCTAGGCGTCGCCCGCCTGCCTAACTACCATTGGATCATCAACGACCGCGGCTACGCGAACGTCGTCGAATCCCCCAAGCAAAACTCGACCTCCAAGTCTTCTTACTCTGACGTCGTATTCGGACTGGTCTACTCTCTCTTACCAGAAGACGAAAAGAGACTAGATAAAAACGAGGGCGTACCGGTCGCATACACAAAAGAGATGCTCACGTGCGATTTCTGGCCTTCAGACACAGAGCACAAGGTTGATACTAGCAAGCATCCAGAGAAAAAAGAGTCTATGCTCGTTTACATTGATCGGAATCGTGTTACGCCGGATAAGCCGCGCGACGAGTATGTTTACAGGATGAATCAGGGGATCGCTGATGCAGTCAAGTTGGGGGTACCAGAGGGCTATGTGAGAGACATGATGAGGCAGTACATTCCGGCTGAAGAGGACGAGGAGGGGAAGGAGGGGGAAAGGGAGAAGATGGCGGAGTTTGCCAGAGGGCAGGCGGCAGAGTTTAGGGATGAGAGTGGTGTGATGCAATAACATGTCGGTTTGGTCATCACGTCACACGCCAGGTATAGAATAGAGAAGGTATTGAATGAGTTAACAGACTAGACCACCCGAATATGAAGCAAGACATGCATCACGCGACGATACACAATGCAACGAAGCTCATGGCAACCCATGTCCAAGCAATGAAGCGGCATCAAGCTAATCACTGCCTTGGACCTCTTCTGTCGCTCGGGCTTGTGCGTCAGAGTCGTCCTACAACTCCTCACGAGCCCTGCGGTAGCTGGCCTATGAATGCAATGCATCAGTTGGGTCCTCTACAAAGAAGTCTAGTAGTCGGAAGACTGATGTCTACGCACCTCCTGTTCCACCTGCAGCTGCTCGACGACGGGAGCCAGCTCGGACAAGATGTCGTAGGCCTTCTTGTGGTATTCGAGTTGGGCGGCGATGAGTTCGGCGAGGTTGCGGAGTGGCTCGGGGGTGTCGAGGACCTAGTCGGAGGTTAGCGGGGGTGCCAGCACAAGGTGGTGTAGGGTGAGGGGTATGGTCGTACATTCTTCATGACGCCGACAGCCTCCTCAGTCTGACCGACGAACTCGTCCTCGGCCTGCTCGATCTTGGCTCTGGCGTCTTCGCTGATGTCGTCGTCCATGACGTCTTTCTTGGGAGCCTGGCCCGGCAGGGAGAAGGCAGGGCCCTTGGCATTGGCCTTGGTGGCATCGAGGCTCAACCTGGAGTTCTCGACGGCCTTGCGCGCACGTGTGGCGAACTGGATGTTGGTGTTGAGCGTGGTGCTCCAGCCGGCCAGGAAGCGGCTCTGGATCTGGGCGTCCTGCGCCAATCGCGCCTCGCCGACCTTCTCGCTGGCGATGGCGTACTTCTCGAGCGCCGTGGCCAGGGGGTCCTCGCTCGAGCTTGTTTGCTCCGACGTGAGCATGTGCGAGGCGTTGAGGGCGGCGCGGGCAACGGCATGGCTGAAGGTCTTGGGCTGGGGCTTCGCGGAGGGGGGAGCAGTGAGGGCTGCCTGGGCCTCGGCGGGCGACGTGGCGCTGGAGAGCAGGTTGACCTTCTCCGAGACGGTGCGGCCCAGGTCGTTGAAGGACTCGCGGATGTTGGCTGGGTAGTCGTAGGCTTCGTTGGCGTATTGCGAGCTAGACAGTCAGACCAGGCACAGCGACGGGAATCGGGTGTCGTACGTGACCTGCAGCATCGTCGTGTGCACCTTCTTCAGCGCATCCACGCGCTTCTCCAGCTCGATGTAGTCCGGGGGGAGTTGGGTCTGCCATGTCCGTGTCAGCACTGCGCCAGCTACGCTCACAGAGCCGACCGTACCTTGTCCTCGACATTGCCGACCTGCTCCTTGACATACTGCTGCGTCCGGGCAGCCCACGGTGTGAAGGAGGCGCTGCAAAAGCAATGTCAGCATATCGCGGGCTTCCACCTAGCAGTCGCTGCGGGACCAGGCATACGAGATGTTCTTTCCAAACGCCGAGATCTTGCCGAGGTTATCCATGGTGGGTGGTTCGTGTGGTAGCTGTCACGGGCTTGTCTGTGTCTCGTGGCGGGGCGTCGTGGTAGTGGTCGAGGTGCGCTCTCCTCTGCCGACTTTCATGTGTTCCGCTGCCCGCTGTCAGGGTCGCGCCTTATCCCTGCAACGCTAGCTAGGCCCGTTTCGATCATCTCCAACGCTCCACATGCACACTCCACAGCGCTTTAACAGGCATCTCATCGCCTTCGCTCATCCATTCTAGAGCGGTTCTAGGATTTGCAACCTCTTCAAAAATTCAATCATTTGCAGGCACGCCGAAATCGCACCAACGAGGCACGTGCGGAGCAACTCGATATTTGCATCGCATTCACAGCCATCACATGCCAATTTGTCAGACCTGCCCAGGTGATCTCCAACCACATCAGTGGTATCCTATCCTTTGATTCTAGTATCACAAAAGTCGCATAGAACCGCCACGCGCTATTGTGACCGCATGTGTGCCTGCTTTGTCTCCATCCACGTGCCTCACATCGAGTCCACATAACAGTTGCGTCCCCTCATCTCTCGTGAACAAGCTTTCCATCAAGTGCATCTTGTCAAACTCCACTCCCCTGAATATCCATCGATAGGGCTATGGAAACCCAATCTATATGCGACGTCGCATCTGACATACGGTCCAGCAGCTGACAGACGTCACACCACATGACATGCCGTGTCTGTTCTGTCGCTCATTTCTTCCTCTTTGGCTACAGCCCACTTCGCTCTCTGTGGCCCAAGATGCAATGTTGTGTGTCACGGCAGCACTGCCTTCAGGCAAGCCAAACCTCTTCTGTCCTCAACCTAGCACTAAACCGCCTCTCGGAAGGCCATCTCGGCGATCGACGCTCGTCCTACAGGGCTGATAGAGCGTTTCCGACAGACACACTCTATTGCAATGCATCCAGCCGTCATCCAGGGCAACGTGGGCGTAGGCACTACCGACGAGGCATTGCATCTGACCGACACAACAATTTACGTCTTATCGCAGCCGTGCTGAGGGATTCGAATACTTCTTGCGCCCAAAACATTCTACTGCACAGCGTACTGTTGATGTGACCCCGGTGGACAAGCCTCTGCGTTTGACGACTTGCGGTCGCTTCCGTAGCCCGGAGATTGCCAATCTGGAGAATTGTACGTTGAAGCCACGCCGTCGGCGCTCGTCACCGTCATGTTGTCCGAGGGCGGCGAATCGGAAATTGTCAGGGAGCTGAAGATGCCTCGCATCTCTCGTAGATCGTCCGAGACCTGGTCCTTGGGTGCCTGTGTGCGGTCTTTGATAAAGTCTTTGATGGACCGGATGATAGGCGGGCAGCTTTCGTCGTTGGGAAGCCACCAGTCCGATGGGCCAACCCCCATGCCTTCGAGCATACGATTGCGAAGAATGTCAGAATAAATGTATCTGCCCCTCGTGTTAGTCGACTTGTCGAAAACTTCTCATGTACCTGGTCTGCATAGAGGAAAGCATATTGCACTCATCCAGCTTCGTACAAGCAAGAGATTCCACTTACCCTGATGCTTCAATCCTGGCAAATGTCTGTCGAACCCACTGCACAGTCTTCTGATCTTTCGGCAGGAACAGAGTCGCGATGGCGAAACTGACTTGTGCCTCCAGTACCGCGCCCGGCGGAGCTTCCGGATATGCGCATATAGCCTCGAAGACTTGTATCGCTTTGTATGCTTCTTTAGTGACTTCTGGATCAAGAGGCTGCTTCAACGCCATAGAAGACGAGATCGTAAACATGAACAAGATACCCCACGTGTCCAGCTGCAGGAAGTTCGATGTCCAAAGCGGTCCGCCCCATAGGACATCCGACTCGTAAGGGTTGACAATGTCCTCTGACTTTGGCGTTCCCAGAATCTGGTGGACCTTGTGATTGGGATCCGTCAAGTCTGTACCCATGTTCCTTTTTAGCGACTCCACTCTCTCCCTGAGTATCGGTAACTGGGCCATGAAATCTTGGGGACTGACAAGACCTTTGGCTGTTCTCGCAAACAGATCGTTCGAGTCTTTCGCCACCAGTCTTGAATGCGCAAAACGCTCTTCGTATTTCATTCCAATGTCTCCTGGCATGTCGCGTACTTTCTGCACGTAGCATTCATGTACAGCCTCGTACCACTCCCGACCCAGCACTGCTTCGCCGCCAGACTGAAAGCCAACAAACAGATCAAACCGGACATACCACAGTAGTACTTTGCAGAGAAAATCTGACTTGGTGATAGTCTCCGGCGTGAACAGGCGGGTGAGCATTTCGAACGCAGCTTTCTGATGACCCATGAGGTTGACCCAGTCACCAAGCATCTCCTGCAGTAGACGTCAGCATAGGAATCGTGCGCTACAGCAAGGCTACATACCTCGATACTCGCAAGCTGTAGTATAGTCAGAAACGTTGCGAGCCCCTGTTTCTTGTTTTTGGTGATGGCTATCCTCAGCCGCGAAACAGACTCGTTGTAGAACTGAAGAAAGCTGTTCATGCGGCCATCTGGCTGCTCAAGTGTGTGGAAGTACGCCGCGTACCCGGCTACAGCGTACTTCAAAGGCTCAAATTTCATCGCCCAACTCAAGAAGTCGCCTTTGAGGAAGCCGTGCGTGTCGCGTTTCAGCGAGTAGTGATGCACACTCATATGGTCCCGGAAGTAGTTCAGATAAAACTGAAGATCTCGGGCCATAGCGGAGGTGCCCTTGGTCACAGGACCCGGTTTGGTTGTTTGCGCACTGCCTTTCCGAGACAGGGACGGTCGTATCGTAGGCGGGGCGGTTGACGACGCTTCGGTAGATGGCGACGTACTTTGATCGAGGAGCGACCCAGGTGTATGTGACGAATCTCGAGCATCTTGACTCTTTGACATATCGTCGTCGTCGTCGTCATACTCGATGTAGTCGTCATCCTCGTCTTCATCCATGATCGCGGGAAGACGCTCCTTGTTCTCCCCATCATGGGTTTCGGGTGAGGAATGATCATCCGTGAACGCCGACTTGCCCGACTTGGACCCATTCCGGGTCGCCTTTTGACTGGACTGTGAGTCTGGATAGATGCACTCGCGGCTCCCCTTGCGACAACCTAGCAAACTTCGTCAGACTTTACGAACTTCAGACTTGTCAAGCAAGCGCAGGTACTCACGTTCGCAGACGGGATGATTTTCGTCGCACTATTACCAATCAGCCAAGCCTGACACCGGAAACTTGATGCGCATACCTTGACTCTTCGTTGCCTGCATGTGAAACAACCGCTCCGAGTTCTGCGGTGCTTGACCTGCTCGCCAGGTGCTGGCCTTCTTCGCGCGCGACCATTCCCACCATGCGCTGAGCCCATGGGGCCGGACATATCCTCATACTGATCAACGTAACTTGGTTGACCAATGTTCTCGTATTGTACAAAAGGTCCCGTCACGCCAGGCTGAAATGGGTTGTCTGGCAGGGTGGGTGCATACGAGCCATGTGAGATGATGGTTGGTGGGGCATGTTGAATGTTGGAATTGGGTATCGCATTAGAATCGAGGTTGTAGT